CGGGAGGGATGGTACCCCCGTGCGTGCGTGCGTGCGCGTGCGTGTGTGTGCGCGCGCGCGCGTTGCCTGTGCGGGGTGTCGGAGTGAGTAGCCGGGTTAATTGCGCATAAACGTGACTCTCCTTTTTTTATCGCCAAACTCAGTTTAGTGGAAAGCTACGGTTTCCACTAATGGTAGAAAATGCTTTTGCCAATTCCAAGCGTTATCAGCCGCTTCGCATTTAAACCTTGGTCTCTTGGAGATCTTTCTGTCACGTTCAAGGATACTCCCTTCACATTTTCCTTCCCCTTCTTAGCCAGGCCCATCTGCCCTGTCTTCCTCCCCCACTCCCATGCCCTGTTGCCAAACTCGCTTTGCTTTTCTCCAAGAGGCTCCGTAGTCCTCCTCCTGCACCCTGGGAACAAAGTACCAGCAGGGCCACCATGCCGCACAGCGCCAGGCGGCACTGTCCACATCGGAGTCTGCGTGACTGGAGACTCCTGCGGTTGTGCAGTGCACAACCTGTGCTGCTGTGCCCTGTGGTCCCGAGCAGAAGCTCCTAAATTCCCAGCTCCTTCTTACATTACCTAGAGCGTCTACCCAGAGCTGAGGCCAGGCTGAGGGCATCAGCCCCCTCTCAGTGGGGCAGGCAAGATTGAAATCATCGTCCTACCCTCTCTTATCTTCTGGCTGGTCAAATGCTCACTTCTTCGGGGGATGGAGGTGATGAGGTCAAAGTGCGATTTCCAAGTAGCTAAAATCATGGTTCTCGAAACTATAGTGAGCACACATCAAAGATGTATTTAACTTCTTAACGAGGGAACCAGTAGAATATTGCAAAACTGGTTCAAAGGAGAATGTGAAAGACAGACGGATGGAGGGATCGATCGATCGATCTCCCTACGTAGCTCCCTATCATCTTCCGCTGCACCGGTACTCACACCGTGACCCTTGGTCTTGGATGGGCTTTTCTGCCGCCCTTGCCTGAGCTGGCTGTCCACGCGTCCTCAGGTTTCTGGCGGTTGCTTTGTAATTATCTTTATTCGGTTTGGTGCACGTCTGGAGTCCCTGCTCCCCGGGAGCACGGTGTCTAATGGGGCGAGGATGACAATTCAAATTCTTCGTACAGGCTTTTTCGAGCATTTCCCCCATGCCAGGCCCCGTGCCTGCTCTGGGGACATCAGATGACCGTGTCCTCACCCCTGCCCTCAGAGGAGCTCTGAGCCCAGGAGAGAGACAGACAAATAAACAGAATCTCATAACACCAAGTGCCAGCGCTAGAGCAGAGGTCCCAGGGGCAGCGGAAGGGGGGGGGATCGTTCCACCCTGGGGACGGAGGG